CCCTTGGGGTCACGGCGTGCGAGACCCCCTCCCCAAACCCCTCCCGCGGGAGCCCGGTCTGGCCGGTTTGGAGCGGGGGGGGGGGGGCAAAGGTGTCGGCCGCACCCTTGGAGCCTCAGGGGACCCCAAAACAAGAGATCTACGAATCGCCGAAAGATCGCTGCCCCCTAGACGGCCCAAGAGGCCTCCAAGACGCTCAAGATGGCCTCCAAGACGGCCCAAGAGCCCTCCAAGACGTCCTCCAAGAAGGCCCGAAAGGGTCAAAATGGCCTCCAGACGGCCAAGATGACATTCAAGATGCCCACGTGTTCCCAGAAGGCTTTCCAAACCGATTCGGGGAACACATGGTCCGATAGCTTGGCAGATCTGGCCTCAACGTTTGGCCACATAGCCGCTTCCAAAAAGGCAGGGGGCGGCGGTGATTCGCCGTAGGCGTCTTCGTTAGCATCGTGGTCATGTTCCTGGCCCCGACAAGGCCCCGCTCCCTCTTGGTGGCACGGACAAAGGCGTCCTCCGGGGGTACAGCCTGAGGGCCTTCTCCGCGTCAAAAGATACTGGTGCAACATTGTTTCGCCGCCACCCTTGCGAGGGTCGTCCTCCTCCTCCTCCTCCTCCTCCTCCTCCTCCTCCTCCAACTCCTCCTCCTGCCCCTGCTCCTCCCCCTCCTCCTCCCCCTCCTCTTCCTCCTCCTCCTCCTCCTCCTCCTCCTCCTCTTCCTCCTTTTCCTACTCCGCCTCGCCAGGCGGCATGGGAATGCAAGGCCACGTACCACCACCACCACCACCACCGCCACCACCACCACTCGGCCAGGTCAAGCCAAACGTCGGAATCTGAGGTCTGCATCAGGCGAGGGGGGGAAGGGCGCACTGGTCCTTGCCCATGAGGGTAAAGCACCGTAGCCCAGGTCATGACCTCCTCCTCCTCCTCCTCCTCCTCCTCCTCCTCCTCCTCGTCCTCCGCCTCGTCCTCTTCCTCCTCCTCCTCCTCATCCTCCTCCTTCTGCTCCTCCTGCTCCTCCTCCCAGGGCGCGGCCGAAGTGAAGAGCACACGATGATCCACCTCAGCCAAGAAAGCCGCCTCCGCGCCAGGCCCGAACGAATCTGTGGCAGGAAACGGATGGATTCCTCGGGCGAAGACAGGAGAGATGAACCAGAGAAGACAGCAGCAGAGGCGATAGTATGTAATAGAAGAGCGGCCGCACATGATTCGAAAGAGGAATGATCTGCTGCTCCTCCTCCTCCTGCTCCTTCTCCTCCAACTCCAACTCCAACTCCAACTCCTTATCCTCATCCTGCTCCTCCTCCTCCTCCTCCTCCTTCTTCTAGTCCTCGTCCTCGTCCTCGTCCTCCTCCTCCTCCTCCTTCTGCTCCTCCTCCTCCTCCTCCTCCTCTTCCTCCTCCTCCTCCTCCATCGGCACTTCTAGCATCACCCTCAGCTGGAGCGCCCGGATGCCACGCCCCTCCTGGCGGTTCTGTGGGTGGAGCAGCGCTGCGGTTCGGCACCGAGCAGGGACCAAGGATGGCTTGATCGCTGCGCGCGAACGAGGGTGAGGGGGCGATGGGGCTGGGGGGGGAAGAGGGGGAGATGCAAGACGAAGCTAGGACGAGGACAAATTCGGGTGAGGATGAATCGAGAAACTCTCAGATCCGGCGATTCTGGATCTCGGGCGCCGCGGCCTTCTCAGAGCAGTCCAGAACGCTCTGAGAGCGGCCGGGAACGCTCTGGAACGGATTTGTCCTCGTCCTAGCCCAATCCCGGAGGGGGAGATGCACGCACGAGAGGAACAAGAACGAACACAAGCATGAACGTTCGGAGGTCCGCGCGGATCTGTCAGGTCGGCGGTGAACCCCCTGGCTCGCAGGGCGCGCCGGTGGCGCCGCCAGAGCGGGCCCTGCATTGACCTGACAAAAGAAAGCGGACCTCCGACAGTTGTTTGTACCGTTTTGGTTTTGCGATACACGCACACACACACATTCTAAGTGTGACATTGCATTACGATGCGCCACACCGCGCGATAGCACACCGCATCTCAGCAGAACTTCGACAAATCCACCACCGCGCCCGCTGGCACGTTGGGTCGTGCTAGAATTCCAAATGCTGCCTGATAGGATGTCCGTAATCTTTAAAGGCCCCCCTTCTCCCTGCACCCAGCCGCATGCACCACCCCTCTTCCCGGGGCTACAACCCCTTGCATACTACAACAAGTTCACGCTCCCAAGGCAATGATGACTCCAAGACGGCCCAAGATGGCTCCAAGGCGGCCCACTTTGGCCTCAAGACAGCCAAGATGGATCCAAGACGGTCCAAGAGGCCTTCGAGCAGTCCCAAGAGAGCCCCAAGAGCCTTTCCAAGAGAAAGTCGAGAGGCCAAAATCACTGCTCCGTAGGTTTTCAATGTTGTTGGGGTTATCGCCTTTTCGAGCTTCCGACCTCCCAAGACGACCCAAGAGGCCTCAAAGACTGCCCCAAGACGGCCCAAGAGGCCCCCAAGGGGGCCCCAAGACGACCCAAGAGGGCTCCAAGACGACCCCAAGAAAAGAGGAGTCACGAGCCGTCGGTACAAAAAGATCTCAGGAGGCCACAAGAGGGCCAAAATAAGCCCCCAAGAGGCCTCCAAGAGGGCCCCGAGAGGCAGACATCACTGATTGCCCTGAGGAATTTTAATGCTCTTGGGGTCTCGCCTTTTTCGAGCTTCCGACGCTCCAAGACGGCCTAAGAGGCCCCAAAGATTGCCCCGAGACGACTCCAAAGCCCCTAGAGAGCTCCAAGGCGCCCCAAGAGGGCTCCAAGACGACCCAAGAGGCACTCAAGACGACCCAAGACGTCCCAAGACGGCCCCAAGAAGGGCAGGGGAGACACGAAACGACAAGTCGATACAATTCGAGCCGTCCGCCCCAATAGGCCCCCAGCAGGGCCCAGGAAGCCCAAAGGAGGCGCCCAAAAGGGCCCGAAAAGGAAAGTTCATTGATTTCCCGAAGGTGTTCCAATCTTGTGCGGGAACTCGCCGTTTCGAGCTTCCGAAACTCCAGAAAGAACCCAAGACGGTGAACACGAACTGGCAATTCGAACCGTTCGGCCCCCAGGAGGCCCCAAGAGGCCCAAAAGATACCTAAAAGATGCCTCCGACAAGCCCAAAAGAGGCCCAAAACTGCCCAAAGTAAGGTGGTCCATAGTGGCTCCTCAGGCAGCGGAGGGTGTCACATGTGAGAGCGCTCATCATCTTTCGTCTCTACCTCCTCCTCCTCCTCCTCCTCATCCTCCTCCTCGCCCTCGT